AAAATTGAAATCACCATATCCGCGCGCGAAAGAGCGACGCGGGAAAAGAAAATCCTATGCCTATTCGTATTCGCACAAAATTCCGAGAGTTTTCCCCGACGCGACCAAGAACATTTACACACACGAAAAGGACACGTCGATGTTCCGCTTATCCCGGAATTCCCAACTGCCGAGCCCAATTCCCATTGCGTTCGCTAAGGCGCACGTAATTTCCTATGTATTTCCCGAATTGCAGAAAGGAAAAGCAGAACCCGGGAGTCGAAAAAGCTTCCGAAAGATGGGGGCCAAAAACGCGGCACCCAAAATCAAGAAAACGAAACGGGGTTTTTATGGGGTTGGTATGATACAAGCAAAAAGGGGTACGAAAGATAGGACGGGGTTGGGAAGTGGTTTGTCACATGTAGGTGCTACTCTGTCCACACGTCCTGGTGGTCTAGAAAGGTCCTGGTAGGTAGGTCCACAAAGGTCCCCCTAGGTCGCTGTTTGGCACCCGCTTTTTCTGCTGTTTTTGCCTCTAACGAACTACAGCCCTGGTACGGCTGCCATGTCCAGTCTTTTTTGCCTTTTTGAACACCTCAGATTTGAAGTTGCAACGCAGTGTTTTTTCCTGCCTATTTCAAACTTAAAGTGTGACTCCGAAGCAGTTTCCTATATAAAAAAAATTGGGATCATTACCAAACTTCAGTTTGCTCGAGTCCAACTCCGGGGATACATCATCCATAAGGTACTCTTGCGATCCGATAACTTGAATTGCAAATTCCAAACCATGTACAGGGACTACCAAAGTCCCTTTGAGGCGATGAGACTCCCTAATGGAACCATTGTAATCGAGGTTCACGAACCATGCTAGTAAATCGTAGCCCGTATTTGCCGTCAACTAATGAAGTTTTTAAATGTTATTTATGTACGACACGTGGGGAGTACCGGCCCAGTCGCATAGAGCATCGCTCCACAAATCACCACATGCAGAAGCGACAAAAAATATTGCTGTGTATCCTCAAATATTCTAGCGGAAGATTCATTCTGATTTGACATATTTGGTGAGTAGTGGAGCGATGTGCCAATTAGTGAGGATATTGTTGTATCTTTGGGACGCTGGACCTGGTTTCCAGCAGGTGCTGCCCCAAAAAAAAAAAAAAAAAAAAAAAAAAAAAAAAAAAAAAGAAGTCCATATTAGAGCTTATCGAGAGGTTTGTGCTTGTGATGGATCCAGATTCCAGATTCTTTGATGGTTTTGTCTTCTATTATTAAAGTAGATCATGTATCATATTCAAAATTTCAAACTCTATTGAAGTAATGGTATAAACTATAGACTAGTATAGAGTTCGGTGGCTTGGAACTTGGTAAATCTACAATGCAGATTGAGGCTTTGACACCTCTCAGCAGGTGATATATAAAAAGACCTCTGAGTCTCTGAGCATGTGGCTGGTTTGTCCATTACGATACTGGATGGTTAGCCTGCAGTCACGAAAACGGGTTATAATTGCACTATGGGCCAGGATACAGTTTGCAATTGCCCTTCTGGCACCCTACCTGGCCAGAAAGCTGGGTTCTATACATTGCCCGAACTGCAATTCCAAACTGTATCTTGGCTCATAGTGCAATTATAACGCATTTTTGTGACTCCCGCGTAGTTTCCCCCAATAAGTAATCTGAGAACCCTTCGGAAAAGATGTGGACAGATCATGGAGGAGCCCAAGAAGGGTCTCTTGAGAGATTGAAGAATAGTAGCTCATATGCCATAAAGGGCTTGTTGTTTTAAACCACCAGTACATCCAGCTATCGGCCGCGGGCCCTTTTCGAAGGCAGCCCGCTACCTATTCTATTTATCTACGGCGCTGGGCCTCCAAAAATTCCGTAGGCGACGAGTTTTCTTTTCAGCAAAGCTGGGGCCGTGTACTGGCGGGGTTTAAACTAACTAATATAGCATGATGACCCCAAGTTACAGCAGCTCCCGATGAGAGTAGAATAAGAGTATTTAGAAAGGGGATTCGCCAAGGATCTAACACATCAATACCTTCGGGAGGCCAAATAGCTCAAATTTCTACCGTAGGCGCCAGACTTGAATGAAAGAAAGCTCAAATCTAACAGGATTGCCTCCAGGCTCCAGCTGATTTCTTCACTCAGGCTCCACAGTCTGGAGTGCTTTCCCTGAACACTTCCTGCTTGACTCAGGCTATGTTACAAAACTATCACTCGGTGGAATGCATCTGGACTAGCTACGGCTGAATTTACTCGACAGTATAGCAGTGTGAACACGGCATTATTAGCGAAATGATATCCTCCTCTTAGTATCGCAGTGTGAACACGGCATTATTAGCCAAATTATATCCTCCTCTTCCTCCTCGACCTGGTAGTTCGGCACTTTCTACGACAAATTCCTCGTCCCGAGGGACTGTAAGCGTCCCACTTGAACAAAAAATAAAAATAAAAAAAATAAACGTCCCACTTTATCGGATGTCTTGTTCCCGAATCCGAAGCTCGACTTCTTCAATGGGAGACTGACAGCGGCCAAGTGGGACCTCAGTCCCACTAATTACCTACCCTACAGACTACAGTTAATACCGTGAACTCCTCTCCACGGAGAACTACTTCTGCCGATGGGTCTGCTCTGCAGGACTTCTCTAGTAGGTGGCGTGCCTCCTGTCTTCTACTGCCTCTGTTACCCTCTCTAGACTTCTCTCCTGCCTTCTTGCTACTCTCGTCCGTCGTGAACTCCGTTCCCTTTACTGAAGGACCCCTTTTTTCCGTCCGATTCCCTTGTCGGTGGCGTGCCTCCTGCTGGACTTTTCTGATGTTACCTCGAACTCGGCGAAGTTCTTTCCCGGATCCTCTTCTCTTGGTGTACCTTGCTGCTGCTGTTCCTCTTTGGCCTCTTCCTCCTTCCCCATATCCTCCTCCCCGTCGCTCTCCTCCTCCTCTTCTCCCTTGTCGTCATCCCCTCCGGGCTATGTCCAGCCCGGGCAACACTTCTCCCACCGAATGTCATGACTGCGAACTTATTTTCTCGGACCCGACTTGTCACAGTTGACCTCACTGCGGCGGCCCTTCCTCCTCCTCCTCCTCCTTCTCCACCTCCTCCGCCTCCTCCTCCTCCTCCTTCTTCTCCTCCTTCTCCTCCTCCCTGTGAACACTTATTCGCGAGGAGTCTTCATCCCCCCTGGCTTATGTTCATCCGAACCACCCATCTCACACCATCGGTCTGATTTTCCTTTACATCTGTCACCTATATGGTGCAATGTACTCCTCCCCGTGCTGTCCACGCCTTTCTTCAGGTTTCTTCCCCTCTTCGCCGAAGCCCTCCGGGTAAAAATTTCTGGTTTTGTCTTTTGCAATTGCTCTCCGTTGACCTTCCCCTCCGTTGGAATCCCCAGCAGTGAAGTCCTTCCCACCGTTGGAATCCCCAGCCCAGCAGTGACGTCCTTCCCACACCATCGGAGCTCCCCACAGAGCAGAACGACGATCCGTCCTCTCGACTGCCTCTCTGCAGTTGGTGGATTGCAACTTGCACGGTTGCACCCTTCCATCCACCAATTCCATTCCCGCTTCCTGCGCGTCTTACTTGCGGGGGGCCTCTGCGCGACTCTTAGCGCGCCGCTGCCTGTCAATTGGCACTGGCGAATATTTACACTATTGACTTTTCCTGTCTTAGATAGCATAGGGGATCTAACGAGGGTTAACTACTTTCCTCCAGGGCCTCCAGGCTATATTACTTGCTCACGCCAGCAAGGACGGCGAACGAACAGATGACATGCGCAATAAGCTTCCCCCACGTTGATGCCTTTTCACACTCTGCTCCTTCCTCGCTCTTTTCGCAATGCGCGCCATCTTTGCCGCCCCCGGAAGTTGCCCGCCTGTTTTTCCTCCCGAGACTAGAATTTTTTGGATGAATCCTACCATAATTACAGCTAGGGTAATTCCAAACCGTGCTGGGAGGCAAAAAAAAAAAGCCGTGCCGGTATGAAACGGTATGATTATTATGTCTGTTTTTTTTTTTTTTTTTTTTTTTTTTTTTTTTTTTTTTTTTTTAATTTAACTTCTTATTTATTGCAAATAAAGAATTAAAGGCCGGGAATCCCTCCACATCTCAACCCGGATATCTGGGGCCATCTCCCAGAAATGGCTATGCTGCGTCCCTTCTCGAATATACTGGAAAACAGGTCCAGCGTCCTTATTAATCTCAAGGATATCTAGCTGGGAACCGGGCCCAGCGTCCCATCCACAAAGCACGGAATCATTTAATAACGAGTGTAAGTAACACTTACACTACCTGGAACATACCAGGCCTAAATCTAAAAATAAAATAATAAATAATGTCTGTTTTATCGTAACCTCCCATGCCCGCTCTGACACTCCAGACTGCGATCAGAACAGGTGAGAGCAGGAAACGCAAGCATGCGAGGGCGGCGAAAAATTTCGCTGTCAAACGAGAATGAGCTCAAATGCGGCAGAAAAAACCGCTGCCACACGAGAAAAAATGCACAGCGTGCCGCCCAAAATCGCAACGTCGAAAAAAAATTAAAAAAATAAAAATAAAAATCGCAACTTCGCCCAACGCCACACTATGAGAGAATGACGAACGGACTCGAAAGCCAACAAAAACAGGTTGAGGTGCTCCCGTGGGTCCTACCTAGCACCAACCAATTATTTATCACCCTTAAAACACTTATACTTTTTCCCTGTTAAGAATAGCTACAAGGGGAGACTTCTCCCTGTTAAAAAAAAAAAAAAAAACCATACGGTACTATATCTGGCTGAATTTTAAAGCAAGACATCGTGCACTGAAGCAGTCTTCTCAGTGTTTTTTCGGAAAAGAAAGAAAAGAAAAACTTGAGTATGGGAGGTAACAGTCGCTAATTAGTACTATAGGAGGTGCAGCAGAAGCAGATAAGGAGCTACTGGGGATAAAAAAGAAAGTACTCCCCCCTTCGATAGGACAACCTAGTTCTTCTTTTTCGCCTTCCACTCCACCTCCGTCGTTCGCTGGCCGGAAGTAAAGCAGAAGCAGATATATTCCTTGATTGATCTGCCGATTTTTCTCGCCTTTGGTCCGCAGCAGGTTGGAGACTCATCTTCCTCCGTCGCCGAAATTGAGGAGACACTGTCAGGATGAGGATGACCAGACCCGGCGGGTGTAAGATGCTCTACTATTTCGTCTTGAACTTGGCTTTCTCTGAACGAACACTCAACGAGGTGGTTATCTAATTCACCCTCTCGTATCCTTGCCTGGCAACCGAAGTGCGAATTGGGACATGGAGGAAGACAGTTGTTCTCAAGATGGCTGTCCATGGTGTCATGCCGGAACCCACACTTCTTGCACAGAGGGGTCGAATTGAACGAACAAGATCTCTCGTGAGCAGTCAGATTGCAGTTCATAACAGTCTTCTTGCATCCCTCTTTCGCGAACGGACACTTCACTGGACGATAAGCACAGGTGCGTACATGGCCCTCCAGGTCCTTGAGAGCCATCTCCTGGGAGCAAAACTGTACCTCCGAATCACCCTGCGGCTCCTCTGGGTTCTCGCGACTTCCGCTCGTCTGCGTCGAAGCCTTGTTCGGCGGAACGAAACGGTTTGAACAGATGTCGTACGTCAGTGAAAAGGGGCATTTCACTCTGGACTTCCAGAGGATCTCACGCGTGTCTAGCGACGGCATACTGCCTTCACAATATCCATGGCAGCCTACAATCTTACACTTGGGAGACTTCTTAGAGAGGATTCTTGTCGCGCAATCGAAGCAATATACGTGTCCGCATTTTATCATTAAAGCGGCATCTAGCATTGGTTGGCGACAGAGCGGGCAAAGATACATAGCCGGGATGGAGGCACAGAATAACTCCGTCGTGACATTGGGAGCTCGCATCAGGTACCGAGAGCCATGTACCAGTTGCATGTCGATGGGAGCAAAGCCCTCGCGGGGCTGCACCTCTTCATTGACGACTCTCTCGACTAAATTGTCCGTGAAGTGGTAGATGAACGACGACAAGAAGGTCTTAAACTGTTTCACAGACGTGTACCGATTACTCGGTCGATCTTCGGCCGCCATGGTTAGCTAATCAATCAATCAATCAATCAATCAATCAATCAATCAATCAATCAATCAATCTGTTTAGGGGGAAGGGAGTGGGAAAACGAGACAACGAGGTCCCGAAGAATGGGCGTGGGGACCACCACCGATCGCTACGAGTAACGAGTGCACTGATGGACGTCACTGGGAGTCAATCAGCAACGAGGCGAAAAGATAAGATAATATAGGAGCGCTCAGCGCATAGATTGAGGGGACCATGATAGCTTAATTAACAGCTATGATCTATCATGCGGTTTTCTGATAGCTATTCGGAAGATGGGTCGTCATGCATATTGTACGCGTTATTCGAAAAAAGGGGGTCGAGGGGGAAGGAAGATCAAACGGGTGGAAGAAACGAAGAGGTGAAACCATAGACAGAGGGACAAATAGAAAGACGGAAAGTCAGGCAGAGAGAATGGAGGGGTGAAAAAAAAAAAAGAAAAAAAAAAGAGAGAGAGAATGGAGTGGTGAAAAGGGGAGCGAGAGAACCAAGCAAGACGGCGAGGTCTTGGTCAAACCAGTTAGAGCAGTGGAAGGAAGACGATGAAGACCATCGCTCCTGTACAATGAGAAATGTCGTTGCGTTGCAAATTGGCGCGCTTCCGTCGATTTCCCTCCGAGAAATCGCCCACCGAGCTGCCAGCGAGACGGTGAAGTCGTTCTCTCTCTTCTCTTCACTCCTCTAGGTTCGTGACTTTCGCGGCTTCAATGCCCATCAACTTCCTGGCGACCTAATTGCTTTTTTTCTTGGATCTCTTAATGATTGATTCACTTCTTAAGTGTCAAATCAAAACCCCACAAACTGTGAGCTCGGGACCTCTATCCTAGGACTTCCCGCTTAGGCAGCAAAAAAAAAGGGAGAAAGAAAACGCTATGCACTAAGTGACAGCGACGCGGGAAAATGCAGAAGAAAAAAAAAAACAGCTTTTTGAATCGATCTGTGAGTGGCATCCGACCGAACTTTTCAGTCTTTCTACCCGCTTCAACACTCAGCTCCTGCTCCTGAGCACATCAGATCGAAGATGACGGTTACATAGTCTCCTCCGGCAAAACAACTACAGTCGTACAGCCATAACCCATTTCATAGTATTTCATACGCATATTTAATCGCGACTTCCACATTCGTCGAATGATAATTTGAAAAGGTTCGAATCGATGGATTTACCTAATGATTAGATAAGTGACTCCAAATAACCGATCCCTCGCAAAAAAAAAAAAAAAAAAAAAATCCGTTCAGATAAGTAACTCGTTAGTAAACAGACGATGAGCTCGAGTCCCAGTTGAAGTCAGATGAGTACTATTACGTCTTAAAGGGGTGCATCTCTCAAATGGCGAAAAAAAAAGCTAACGAGACCGAGGAGGAACGACAACTAAGGAGTCAAGTGATCCCTACCCGGGAGCTCGCTGCTGTCGCAACACCACCATCTCTCTCTCTCTCTCTCTCTCTCTCTCTCTCTCTGTGTGTGTGTGTGTGTGTGTGTGTGTGTGCGCGTCTGAAATTTTGAAATGTACAGTGAAAAAAAAAGAAGAAGCGGAATCTACGCAGGAGTCACAAAAATGAGTTATAAGTGCACCACGGGCCAAGATGCAGTTTCGAATTGCAGTTCGGGCAATGTATACAACCCAGGTTTCCGCCCAGGTAGGGTGCCCCAAGTGCAACTGCAAACTGTATCTTGCCCCATAGTGCAATTAAGAAAAGGAAAAAGAAGGGAATAATGTATCGGGACCACTGCAAGGTACATATGAATTCAGATCGCACAGTGCTGGGATTGGAAGAGAGGTCCGGCGAAGGCCCTTCCTCGCTCTGTAGCAGGCACGCGTGCAAAGTCAGTTCTTTCTTCTCTGCCACGTGGATTCCGTCTTCGGAGGTCATGGCACCAGTCACTGAAGACGAAAAAGACAAAAACGATTGCGAATGTAGATTTGGGAGGTAGTGCGGCGAGTTGGTGCGCGGCACCAAAAATATATATTGTAATGAGCCGCCAAAACACAGACTTTTTTTTTTTTTTTTTTTTCCCCCCACAAAACACAGACTGAGAACACTGCTGATTTCTGGGATTTGCCGCTGGAATGAATGCCTTGCTGAAATCCCCGCATTCTGCTGTGATTTCCATGTCTGTGTGTGTGCGTGCCTGCTGGTTTGCATGACTGTCTGAGTGCTTGTCGGTTGAGTGTGTGTGTGACCCGCAAGGGTACTTGTTGCTTGCAAGGCCCCGCAGGGCCGGTACTTACCTGTGGCCGTGACTTTGAGGGTTGCAGGGGGGTAGACACTCAAGTAGCGGGGGTAGGCCCGCGACTCTTAGAGCAGGGGGAAAAACACTCGGTAGCACGTAGGCCGGTACCACTCGAGTAGTGGTAGGAGTGTCGGTTACTGGAGGCCGAGCAGAAGAAGACAAAGTTGGCAGGTAGGAGTGTCGGGTACTGGAGGCCGAGCAGAAGAAGACAAAGTTGGCATTTTTAGAGGCCCAGTAGCCCTAGGATAGAGGTAGGCCGGTACCAGTCCAAGTAGCCCAGGATAGAGGTAGGCCGGTACCAGTCCAAGTAGCCCGGGTCTAGGGCCTGTCCGGAGGTTAGCAGAGCCTGCAATGATGTTTCCCTCCGAAAGGGAGGAGGTACCGGTTGCTGGGAGGCCGCTCGGCCTAGGAAGTCACCGCCCAGGAGGCCAGTAGGCCGCTATATGTTACGGAGGAGCAAGTAGCTCCTCCTCATTTGCTGTGTGGAAGGATTGGCGACATGCTGATGGAGCGCAGCGCTGGACTGGTACAGCGCTGCTTGGAGTTGAAGGGCAGCTGGAGCTCAGCCTGACTATGGCGAGCATTTGAGCTTGAGGAGGCGGAAGAAGGGGGCGAAGGAGGAGGGTGGCGAGGCACTTACCTGGCTATGGTAGACACCATCTTCATCACCTTGCTGGGCGCTGCATCTGGAAGGCCCCAGTTGGGGTAGTGCTGCACCAAGGAAGCTCGAGGCAGAGTCAGGCATGGCGGACCAGTCAGCAGCGGCATAGCTGCTTTGGGACGTCAGCGCAGCACCATAGCTACTTTGGGTTGCCCTTTGGACGTCGGGGCAGGGCCCTCATTAGTCCGCCATAGCTTATGTATGAGAGAGGAGGCTGAAGGAGGGAAGCCATAGCTATGGTGGACTTGTTGTTGTGATACGCAACCTCACGCCCCCTCGCGACTTCCCGTACTGGGTCGCCGATCAGAGTTCTAGGAGGGGCGTGGCCGAGGATTTTTGGCCGTAGGGGTTGAGTCTCCCGGATGGAACGGGAGGCTCTCGTTTCGTGCCAGAGGTTACCCCGGAGTCGAACTGTCATCGCGAAGTCCCGTGGGGGTCAGATCACTTCGGAGCGATAAAATCAGAAGGGTTTCCGCAAAAAACGAACTACCGTCGTGCATCGGGACGGGAAAGGGCATCAAGGGGAGAGGGCCATGGCGGCGGAAGACAGAAACTCCGACCGTCATGGGTTTGAGGGATAGGTAGTGGGTATGAAGTGACCGGACCGTCGTTTTTTTTTCTGTAGAAGTGGTTGGTTCGAGGCCTTCAAGCCTCGGCGTCAGACTCGCACAGTCCGTGCAGAAGTTTCCGAGAGGGTGAAGCGGCGGGAGGACTCGCCGGCATCCGAATTCGAAATTGCGCGGGCAGCGCCCCCGCATTACGGGAGAGCTCGGGGAAACGTGTCGCTCCCTCGTAACCCAGGACCAAGCGTCGCCAAGAACACGAGTCCCCCTGGCGACACCAGCGACAATCAAACTGCGGCCGCCACGCGGCGTGAGCGGCCGACCAGGGCAACACCGTCAAACCCGTATAAGGCAATATTAGAGTCAGGGAGTCAAAGCGATCAATCAAGACAAAACCGTTCCCCCTTATATTACAAGCCCGAGGCGGGTCTCGCCAACACACTTGCTCCGTCCGTCTCAGCGCGCGCCGTACGTCCACATCGCAGTAGACGTTGTCGTCATTTGCAGTGGGGAAGGTCGGTAACGAGATGAGACGATTGGAGGTGAGCGACGAACACGGGCAAGATCCCGCGCTCCCGGTCATCCGAACCAACACTGACTCCATACAACACTCGACGCAACTCTTCTCTCTCAAAGTTGGTGCGTCGGGAGAAGATGACGAAATCTAAGCTCTCTTCCCCTTGCAGGGGCGTCGACCACGCTCGCGGACGCAGGTGGTTGACGTCACCGGTGCAGGGACGAGAAGTTCAAAAGCGATGACTATCAGTTCAAAAAGAAAGGCGATAGAGAGAGAGTGAGTTACACCGAGACTGCGCGTGCGCGCAGGAAAGGCCGCGGAGGGGAGGGGAACAACAAGATCAACACACTCATACTCCTAAGCAGACGGTCCTCCAGTTCAGTTCCCCCGTCCCCGCCCCGATAAGTACATACACACACACATGCATGCAATCAACAACCCTTGACACGACATCCAATCATCCATAGACCTTCGACATCACTCGTGCGCTCAACCAGCTCCCATCACTCGGGGCTTCACACACACATCATGCATAGACAAAGCAGCAATGGAGATAAAAGCGAGTCCTTCTTGTACACCAAAATTCTCAATTAACGGCCGCCCCCAGGCGCAGCCTTCAAAACCTCCCAAGACCACCGACCAACATAGCCTCAAGGCCCTGCCGCGGCTGGCGTCCAATCCCCACCACTGCTCAGTCCTTCCGACTGCTTCGCCCCGAGACTACCGCGGGTCCACCCCACGTCGTCACTCCGCCCGTCCTCGGGCTCGTCGAGCCTGTTCAGCGCCGCGGACCTTCGCGCAACATTGCAGCCGAGATCAAAGAGAGAGAGAGAAGAGGGTTGCGCGAATTTATAGCGCGGCAGGCGGCGGGTTGTCAGCGCGAGGTGCCGGCAGCGCAGGGTGTAGATGAGCAGGACAGGAGAAAAGTGGGGAGTTAGAGGGTTCACCCCGCGGGATTGCCTGGTCCTACGTGATTGGGGTGTTCGTCCAAGTGGTGTGCGATTTTCCGCTCCCCACATTGATCCAAGCATCCCAACTACGCGGCCAATCACTTAGCGGAGAAGATGGGGCAAGGACCGAGCTGGGCGGAGGGGAAGACGAAGAGTCCTGCGTGGGGGAAACGCGCGCTGCAAGAAGGGAAGATGGCGCGGGGATGCAGAGCAAGAAACAGGGGTGCGAGACGCGCGAAGAAGTCGGAGCTTAGGCGCGCGCGCACAAAAATTCAAAAAGTCCCCACCGAAACCGTTTCTTGGTTTTCAAACCGTGGCCGCTATTCGCCCGCGTGGGAGTTATTAACCAAACAAAATGAAAAAGCCGTTTCAAAAAGAAAACAAAAGCAAAAAGAAAGAAAAAACTCATTTCTGTCCGCGTCCATACTTCGGGGCTTCCGCGGGATTTTTACTCAGAGATACGACAAGCCGCGTGGTACGGGTCCGAGCTTATCACATCTGTGATACGCAGGGGGTTTCGAAGAATTAGCAGTCTCCCGACTGCTGATGTCATCATATCTTGGATGATCGGGCGGCCTCTTTATCGTCAGCTGGCCCGATCATCTTCCTAATCTACGTGGATGCATCCTGCATCCTCCATCGCCTCAGTATACATCCGATCGGGCAGCCCCTTCATCGTCAGCTGGCTCAATATTACTTTTTTTTTTTATACATATATATATACAGCGCGTATCATCGCGCGAGCTTTAGATCCGGAAAAGAAGAAGAAAAAGAAATAGGTGGTGGTGGAGATGGGAAGTAATCAATCTCCGGATTGAGAGGGGGAGGAAGAGGAGGGAGAAATGCCGCGAGTGCGGCTAAGTTGGCTGGCACTTGCACTTCATTGAAGTGGTGCTGGACAAAGGAGGGGTAAAGGAAAGCCCCCGGCACATGCGAGAGGACCCGTGGTGCGAGATCGGGAATCGCCCGAAGGATTCGTCGTCGCAGCGGCCGATTTCTCGGACCCGTCAGCACCAGATGGGTCTCCGTGTACGGCCTCCGCTCCCGCTTAACCGCCGCGAAAACCAGGATATGGTACATAATGTTGGGCCGCCCGCCGGTCTCGTAGATGAGCGTGCCCACCAACCTCGCCGCTATACATCCGTCGAATGGAGGCTGCAAGAACGCCTCCCATGCCGGATCAGGACGCGGCCCCCCCTCGATAGCCTCAAGCCGGATGGTGGCCAGTTCCACCATGTGATCCACGTCGGTTTGATGGACCGTCCGGCTCGGGGGAACTGCTAATATCAATGACCGGGGTATCCCGGGGGGGCTGGCGAAATCGGAATGGTCCTGCAAGGAGGGGGGGTCTGGATGCGGGATATGGAACTCGTCCCAATCCCCCCCGTGCGCCTGATGGCCCGACTGCATGGCTATTGAGATCGGGGAGGCGGGGCCGCTGAGGTGTCGACTCCCGATGGCCTGTGGATCTCCGCGGCTCTTCGGGGGGGCAGTCCTCCCCTAGTCAGGGCCCGATGATGAGGGTGGCTCTTCTCTCGCGAACCGGATCGACTCCGTGCACTGGCGCAGGCTGGACAACCTCCTTAACAGGCCCCACCCGACTGGCCTGAGCTTCCGGCGATGGACTTCGTCGCAGCTTCGGGACAATTCTCTTTCTTGGTGCCTTCAGGGCCGCCGACTTTGGATACGATGATGGAGGCCGCAGCGGCTTGTCTTCGTGCCCGAAGTCCACCACGGACTCCCCCTCACGCGCCACGTAGTCAGGTATCACCGCCGCGTTATACGCTCTGCACGGGGCTGAGGCGGTCCGCAGTCTGAGTTGCAAGTCTTCTTCTTCTGCGGCGATTACATGCGCAATGGACAGCAGCTCGATGTGAATGAGTTGTAAGAGCCCCAGGCGATTCGTTCCGATCCTCCCAAAAGGGTAAAGCGCCACCGTTCCCTCCTTCCGCTCCGGCTTCGGCTTGGCAATTACGTAGTATACGTGGAGGAATTCGCCGACGTTATGAACTTCGTGCTCCACGAAGAATGTAAACATGCCCAGCACTACCGATGAATACAGCGCCCGATGCATCTCCCACGCATCCTCGTCAGCGGGCGGCCTTGCGAGTTGTGCCTGGGAACCAGCTTCACGGAGTGCTGGCCTCGTGCGCCAACTTCCGTCACCTCGTAAATGCCTGTGTAGCGTGGGTGCATCTTGGAGGAGCGCGCGGATTTCCGTACCTGCACCAGGTCCCCAACTTTATAGCGAGGTAGTGGTCCCATAGACGCACGTCGGTTCTCGTAGTCGCGGATCTGCCGTTGATGCATCCGATCTACGGCCCGCTGTCGACGGCGAGCTAACGGGGGATAGGCCCTAGCCATTAAGTCCATGTAGTGGCGGGCCTTATCTCTGTTCTGGGCCCGTGTTGCTCTAACTTCCGTACCTACCAAGGGGGACAACTGCACCCGAGGGACACTATTGGTTCTCAGTTGGAAGGGGGACACCCCAGTACTACCGTGTGGGGTAGCCCGATAGACGGCCAAGATGTGGTCGACAATGACAGGCCAGGGCCGGGTATCTCCCGCAGTGATATTACGTCTAAGAGTGGTCTTAATCAGTCGGTTGGCATTCTCTACCAGGCCATTGGCTTGAGGCCAATGCCCCGGTGAGTAGATAATCCTAACGTCGGCCCTGACTAGGTGGCGTTCTACTTCGCCTTGAAATTCCGACCCATTATCCATGTGTACCTCTTCTACGTCTAGATGCATGCACAAAAATTGGTTTATGTACCTGGCTACCTCCTGTGAATTCCGGCTGGTCATAGGGTACGCCTCGATCCATTTCGAAAAATGATCGACGGCCACTAAAAGAACATTGATCTCTCCCTGATCGACGGGACCTCTCGGAACGTTGATATTCATCGTGTCGATGCTAACCCTCTGAAAGGGGCGCTCTACTCGAGTAGGCACCATTGTCCGAGGCATATGTACCGGCGCCTTGTCCGCCGCGCAGGCCGGGCAATTCTGGACGATGTATTTCGCATCTTCCCGAATTCCCCACCAATACCATCCATTCTTTTCGATAACCTTTTTCGTGTATTTGACCGCGAAGTGGACCGCATCCTCTTCATGAGCGGCTCGGGTCTAATCGAACCTAGCTAAAGGGTGCGGAACCGTCAACCAGCTAGACCCTCCGTCGTCCTCGATTTTTCGTTTTTGTAACGTCGATCCCTGCCAGCGATAATCGTGCGCCCGCTCCGTGACTCGCCGCCGCTCGGCTTTGGTCAGTTCTATCAGCGAGTCGCCTGTCAGTCTCCTTAACAACAGGAGGTCCGTCCAGACTTCTGCCCTGCGAGCACTGGGCGTAAATCCGTCGGCTGTTCTTGCGTCCAGATACTGCTTTTCGGTAGGGAGTTGGTCCGTTCTACAGTTGGGACAAACCCATGTCTTTTCACTTCGGTACCTAACGCACTGTCCGTGAGATTGGATCGTATGACACTGACTACACTGTACCCATAGAAGAAAATTGGGTCCTCCCGGATGTCACCCTTTTCGATCCGGGACCATAGGCAGAGTACAAAAGAAACAAGAACTTAGATGTGACTTAGAGGAGGCGTTGGGACTAGACGAGGGGGCAAGAGAACTGGACGAGGGCAAGGAGATGGCGTCCTCCATCTCTGGCGAAATGTCCATTCTAGACTCAAGCGTTGCCCTTGCGCAGCACGTGCAGTTCCCCGTAGCGCGGTTCCGTCGGAATGGCTTCCAGCTTCCACGGGATGAGTCGCTCGTTGGCGGGACACTTGTTGGGCGGCAGGAGGCGCGTTAATCCATCGGCGTAGCCATGCTGCCGCGTGGCACGGTGGCGAATGTCAAAGTCATAGTCCTGCAGGCGCACCGCCCACCTTCCCAGCGTCCCTGTGTAGTCCGTGTTGTGGCGTAGGGACAGCAGCGGCTGATGATCCGTTACCAGCACGAATTTCAGGCCGTAAAGATACGGTCGGAAATGCTCAATCCCCCACACCACCGCAAGGCATTCCCCTTTGCATGCTTCGTAATTAGACTGCGTCTGGCTCAGCGTCTTAGACGCATACTCAATGACGTGCTCCCTTCCGTCCGTTCCCTGCTGAGTCAGCACCGTCGATATCGCCTGCGGCTGCCAATCCGTATGTAGCACAAACTGTCTCGTCGGGTCGGGACGCGCCAACACGGGTGCCGATGTCAGAGCCTCCTTGAGTGCCTGAAAAGCCGCCTCGCATTTCGGCGTCCAGATCAGCTGCTCCTCCTTCTTCAGCAGGCTCGTCAGTGGCTTGGCGAGGCAAGCAAAGCTCCGAATGAAGCGTCCATAATAAGAGGCCAGCCCTAGGAAGGCTCGAAACTGAGTGAGCGTGACCGGGGCTAGGGCTTCTCGAACCGCTGCTTCCTTCCTGGGATCCAATTTTAGTCCCTCGACCGTGACGATATAGCCCAAAAATAAAATTTCAAATAGAAAGAACTCGCTTTTCTCCAGAGCCACTTTGAACCCCGCATCTTTCAATGCATGCAACACCCACTCAATGTGTTCCACGCTGTACTCATACGTTTTCGAAAAGACCAAGATATCATCCATATACACAATCACGCAGAAATTGATCAGGGGTTGAGTTAGTCGGGTTTTGTTAACAAACTCCGCGAAGGCCATATTCATGGCCCGCTGGAATGTTGCAGGGGCGTTGCCAATTCCCATGGGACACCGGATCCATTGCCACGTGCCTTCAAATAGGACAAAAGTCGTTTTGGGGCGGTCTTCCGGTCGGACCGCAACATGTTGAAAACCGTGTTGGATATCGAACTTCGAAAAGACTTGGGCGGACCCGATGTCATCTAGTAAATCGTCGATCCGCGGAAGGGGGTAAACATCTTTGGTAGCGATGGCGTTCAGCTTCCGGTAGTCTATACACACCCGGATCGAACCGTTTCGTTTAAGCACGAGGACCACGGGAAAGGACCACGGTCCCAGCGATGGTTCGACCCACCCCAACCGCTCAAATTCCCGTACCCTTTCCAACGCCAGCTGTTTTTCTTTAAGGGAATAGCGGTACGGTCGACACTGTATCGGGGCATGATCCCCGGTATCAATCGCGTGCTGAATCAAGGGGGTTAGCCCTATATCGTGGTCCTGAATACTGACGGCCTCAGGATAGGCCCGTATAACTGCCAAGAGAAGGCGTTTGTATTCGTCCAGGACGCAGGCTGGTAATTGAACTTCTACGGTTTCCCCAGGAAGGGAGACCGTCGTCACGACTGTGGGGACCTCCATGCTGGCATCAGGCGAGGCACCAAACAAGGAGTTGTCGGTCTTTGCCGAAAGGACAGTCACAATGAGTTGACTGTCCGCCGGGCTTATCGGCTCGCTTTCCATGTCACTGTCACTGTCCAGTTCGGCTTCGGCAGAAGGTTCTACCGAAAAGGCCTGCGTCAGTTCCCTCGGTCCCCACTGATATTCCCTTGTTCGGGGTTCTTTCGGAGTGTTAGTGGGCCTGGAAGTGCGAAAAGGGGTGCGCCAAGGATTTTAGGAAAGTGGGGGTGGAGTTCCAGGTCGGAACTAGAATTTCCTGTGTCAAGCTCCAGGGGTAGAACTGCAAGTGTCTCTTTTGGCTCAAAGTTGCCGATCCCACGGCCTGGGCCGCGTATGGTGTTCGGGTGGGGCGCTATGGGTGTCCCGGTGGGAATGCTCGTACCGCTGTCGGCCGACGCAAGTCTCTGAGGCTGAGGAGGATGAACTGCGCTCTCCTTGTTCTGTTTCGGAATGGGTTTGCTGGGTGATCCCCGCCGGATGGTACTCGCTGTGTTGTTTGCAATCTGAGCATGGCGGTCGGGGCCAGAACCGGGCTATGGTATCCCAGGGGAAGACGAGTAGTTGGCGATACTGGAGGACGATGTAATAGGGAGGGAAGTTAGTGGTGATGGCCACGAAGCCCGGGGTTAGGAGGGTAATGCTGGGTTCGACTATCGAGATAATCCGGGAATTGTGAGTCTCGGTTTATTGCCAACTGGAAATCGCACCTGCACTGTGTTACCTCGCGTTCATTGAACGCGCGTTTCGCGTTCAGCCTTTAAACGAGGTGAACGCGCGTTCAGTGAACGGCGGTAAACGCGTTTGACGCGTTTGCGCAGGGGGTTGTGCGGGGTGCGGGGGGGCTTTGGGCAGTGTGGGGAGCGGCGGCGGTGCTTGGGGGGG